CTTCTACCCAAAGGTCAGCTAATCAGAAACCTTTACGAACCACCCTACGACCCGATCCGTCCCGTTGCCGTCCGCCCACTCGACGTCCACCGTCCGCGCGACCCTCTCGACGACCGGACCCCTCGGAGGCTCCCACCACGCGCCGAGGTGCGGGTATCTGAACGGCTGCATCTCGTAGGCGAACCGCAGGGCCTCGTGCTGCTGCATGGCGCTGCGGTAGGAGAGCATGCTCGTCGGGACGAGCTTCTCCTCCTCCTCCTCATCCCCCTTCGCAGGCTGAGGCTGAGGCTGCGGCTGGGATAGAGGCCGAGGCTGAGAATGGAAGCCGGCCGGGCTGCTGCTTGATGGACATCGTTGCCGTAGATGCTGTAGGTACTGTAAGAACTGCAGTCTGTGTTGGTGCTCGAGTCTTGTGAGGACGTGAGTCTGCTGCGTGATGGCGAAGCTCTGGCGCGGAGGTGTCGCTCGTGCTGCTTCTGCGGGAGCCCTATCGTCACTCGTGGAGATGGTTATGGTGAGTGCCGCTGTGGCCGGGATATCTGGCGTCAGACGAGCAGCAGCAGGGGCCGTGCCAGCGGGAGACGTCGTGGCGACAACCTCGAACCCGTCGCTGCAGTTATACTCTCTGACGCTGGCTCTGCTCTCCCGGGTCGGTTGGCCAGTGGTGAGCTCGTTCCTGCTGATATCGAGGCTGTCCCTGTCGAGACTGCTGCTGTTGCTGCTCGCCGGGGTCGAGGGTGAGGAGCAGGGGCACTCGGGCTGTCCAACAAACTCGTCAAGTTCCACGCCCTCGTCCTGGCCGCGGCTGCGGCCGCAAGCGCACTCCTCTTTCCCCTTCTTCTTTCCATTTCCCCTGACAAGGCTTCGGCTGTCGTCATAGTCCTCCGCACCGAGCACGAGCACCATGTGCCTCTCCCCGCCCCGCCAGATCCGCGTGAGCCCCGTCCTCTCGCGGAAGCCGTTGCTCTTGAGGCTGGGACGGTCTCTCCGGCTGCCCGTGGTGCCTTCGGATCGTCTCCAAGAGAACTCGCCGCCCTCCTGCTGGTCCGTGGCCAGGTCGAAGCCCGGGAACAGCTCCACCGGGTCCGCGAACTGCTCCCCGCCGGCACCAGCGAAGGCGAACGTGCCCGAGGTGCGGCAGTAGTTGACCATGTCCGCGGCGGCGTGGCCGAGGAACCGGCCAGTCTGCGCTGTGGCGGACTGTGCTGCGGCAGCGCTGGACGTGGAGAGCGCAGAGGCGGTGGACAAGGCGGAGGACGAGGGTGCTGTTCTCGTCCAGCCTGTCGCCGTGGTCGGCACCGCTCGTGTGTGGTTGTGGTTGTTCATGATGTGGTCGGCTGCAAAGAGGTGTAATATTAGTTTTCGAGTGCTGGTGGTGTGTGTAAGTGCTCCAGAGTTCATCCACTTCGTTACTTGCGATGGCACACATGGAATCGGAGGACACTCTCGAGAAGAAATCTCAAGGTATATAACACTCTGGCGGTGGATTTGGATGCCATCTCCGAAGAGTGCGTGGAAACGCTCGATGAAGTCTCATGGTGCTGCCGGAGATGGCCAACTCAGAGCCGGCACTGCATATCTCGAGGCAAAAATGCACCGGCAACCAAAGCCCCGGCTGACCCAGACCGAGTCGTGGAAAGGTCGTCCCAAAGTCTCGCCGCCTTGGGCCGCTACCGGAACCAGATGCCATGCAGCGTTGGGTGTCGCCTCAATGTCGGTATTCGTTAAGCCCCCACCGGGAGCAAGTGCACCATCCACGGCAAGCAATGTGCGAGAATTTGGACTTGTTGATAGCTGAACAATCGAATAGTGACCCAAACAGAATTTACAGTCTCGACAACCTCATAGTGCCAGGACACGGGGGTGAACAGCCCGCCCAACCATGATACCACCACCAGCGCCTTTGCTATGCCTCAGGGTATATCCATCTCCTCTCCCATGTAACGTACACGACCCCACGAACAGAAACGAAAGAGTGCCAATAAAGTACAACAAAACCCGTCAATCAATCTTGGAGACTCGTGCATAGCAGTAGACCGGACTCGTCGTAATAGCGTCCGCGATCTCGCGAGACTCCAGATCCTTTCCGACAGAATGGAACTCAAAATTCCACACCAACAGCGCGACCACGATGCGCGTCTCCAGGAGAGCGAGACGTCGGCCAAAACAGCCGCGAGGGCCGAAGCCAAATGCCATCATCGGACCGGCATACTGATCAAAGTATTCGCCCTTCTCGTTTGTCTTCATCCACCGTTCCGGGCGGAAATCATCCATGCCGTCATGATCCCATTGGCCGTAGGGATGATGGTCAGGACCTCGCGACGCGCTGCGGCGCAAGTCATCGGCAACAGGTATCTCAGGCAGCTGAAAGCCAGGCCCGCTCGAGAGCATAAATATCTCTGTACCTTTCGGGATCTTGTATCCGAGTATCTCCGTGTCGACAATCGCCTCCCGCTGCGTCAGGGGTACTGGCGCATCAAGCCGCAGGCACTCCTGGACGAAAGCATCGAGATAAGGTAGTGTGGTCTTGGTCAGTTCTGCTACGGAGGGCTGTCCTCCCTCACTACGATGCTGCGGGAAGGCTTCGTGCAGAACCTGGCGGACCTTTGCCTGCGCAGCCTGGTTGACACCAAGCCATTTCACCATCCCTGGACCCGGCGTCAGTTCGCGATTCTCCCACAGCACGTGCGTCAGTGCATCTCAACTTACAGCAGATCGAAGAAGCACTAGTATCGTGGCCAGCGACGATGAACCCGAAGAGCTCGTCGTATATCTGAGGAGAGTGGAAGTCAGGCTTCCTGCCCGCCTTCTCAGCCGATGCCATCTCACGAAGGATGATATTGTCCATGGCCGACCACATCGCATTGTCTCCAGACCTGATCCGCTCCAGAGTCTTCTCCACCTCCCGGCGAATCAGCTCGTTCTTCCGAGCAATGGCTTTTGCCAAGGTCGGACTTGTCAGCACCTTGCAGGGATGCGCCCACGTCGGCGAGATAGCCTTGAACTGCGTGCCAACATGGTGGCCGAACTCGTAGATGGCGGCGATGTCCGGGACATGGGGCTCGCGAGGGATCGTGACCGAGCCGTCTGCGTTGATAGTGTGTTGGAATCGCGAGAGGGAATCCAGAAAAACAAGCTGCTGCTTCGTGATGCTCATGTCGTCACCAAGACCGAACGCCGCCGCATTGATAATGTCCAGGGCAAGGTCGACCACATCCTGCTTGACGTCAAACGGGCAGCCCTCCGTCAAATCCGCCTTGCGCGTCCACAGATCGATGAGCTGCTGAGCCTTGTCGTATATCTGCGGGGCCGTGACCTGATGCAGGAAAGCCGGCGTCATCAGGTCCCGGACAAGCTCCTTGTTACTCTTGAAGCGTGGATCACTGGAACGCATGGCGATGTGGTGGTGCCCGATGGGTCCGGAGAAGATGCTGATGCTGCGGGAGCTCCGGTCGAACTCCTTGCTCCTCCTGAGCAAGATGTCCCGGGACTCCTGGAAGTCGGCGAGAATCAAGGTCGGCTTCGCAAAGGGGCCCATCCAGAACTGGGTGAGGACAGAGCCGTGCCTCTTGGAGTGGCCGACGAGCCAGGGTCGCAGGCGGCCATGCTTCTTGATGTAGGCACTGAGCTCGGGCAGGCTGCCGAGGAGACTCCTGCTGGCGGACTTGTCGTAGGGGATGCCTGGTATGGGCGTGGGTAGTGCCCAAGCGTAGCCAAAGTACAACGCCGAGCCAGCAGCGACAGCCAGGCAGCCGGCGAGGACGGGAGTGTTCTGGACAGCCGTCAGGGGCGTCGAAAGGAAGTCCGGAGCCGAGTCCATGTCCAAGACGGCAGCATCGCCTCGCCGTCAGTCGCAATGGTTCGTAATGGGGAGGGTGAGCAGGGCGAGGTTCGAGCTCCGAGGCACACGGAGCAATGCGGCCGAGAAAGGCGACGGATGGGTAAGGTGCTTTAGGTAGGTTCTAGCCATGACGGGTCGTGGGGACGGCGCCGCTGGGCGCTGGGCGGCGCCATGGTAGGGAGGGTCCGGAGCTCTAGAGCTGGGTCGTTGAGCTTGGAGCTCGTCAGTGTTTCGTGTGCTGGTGGAGGGGCCTGGCTAGCACGGCTGGGCAGGCAGGGGCTTGCCAGTGGTTGAAGCTCAGTGAATGTCGCTCGAGGTTGCATAGCTGGTCGCATGGGCCGCACTCCCAGGCGTCCGGATCCGAGCGAGAGCCCTGGCCATCGACGCATGGGTCTGCGAACGGAGGATTTGCTGCAGCGGGCGTCATGGCCCGCACGTGTCCACATGGCACACGGTCGCCTCGAGGGGGCAGGCACTTTCTGCGGCATGCACGCCCGGCGCTGCTTTCTCCCGCCCGCACAGTTTCATCCCGAAGGTCACCTTCGAGGACCTTGTGGTAACTACCCTAGGGTACTTTATCCATCAGCACGAGACCATCCCTCGATGCAATAACCCTTGTCAAGCCTCATAGCCTAGGTAGCACAGGCCTGCCGCTTCAGCTCGGGTTTGTTTGCCGTAGAGGACCAGGGATCTGTCTCTCGACCAGCCCGGCTGCGAGATTGCAAAGTCGAGACCAGCTCCAGCACCCCGCCATCCGAGCCACCTGCCGTCCCTTGCCATATCAGACTCAAGAATGCGACCACCTGGGCACACCACAGAGTCCACCCCCGTCACTTGTCTTGTGAATCCCTGCCTTTTTGACTGGGGCGCACTCCCTCTTGGCGTCCGATTTCTGGTCCGCGCATTCCGTTTCTTTGGATTGCGGCAAAAGATCCCCGGATTGGTCACGAGCGTGACATTGCAGCCTGTAATGGCGGTCTGATTTAGCCTCTGCCAGCAAACATGGTCTCAGAGAGCCCGGGCGAGACCCGAGGTAATTTCTCTCTACAAGTCAGGTGCGACCGCGCGAGTACGGACCTCGGGCTTGGTAAGCCAGAACAAAAAAAAGTTTGCTTCCCCACGCCCAGTCGCTCGTAGAGCGATGGAGAGCAAAAAGAGACTCCGAATCGGGGAATCGAACCCCGGGCTTGACGGCACACGAAGACCTTCAGACGAAGACCAAGTGAGAGCGTCAAATGTTAGCCACTACACCAATTCGGATGTGATTGTTGGAAAGGCACGCGGTTATCATATACAATATCCTCAGCCAACAAAGCAGATTATCAGCCCTCAGGATGTGCCTGAAACATCGGAACATGGTGAGGATTGCAACGACTTGTCAATTGCCACATAGTTATCGGTGTCCAATAGTGCTTCGGGCACTTCAAAGTATCTCGATAGTACAATAAAAGTGTCTCTGCTCCCAGATCCAAGGAGTTGCCAAAATCGACGGCGGCTATCTACTCAATGAAAATTCCATGAACGCCAACGCTATGCAACGCACTTCAAGCAACCTGTATCGCTCTGGTCGCCCTTTTGCCTTCATGAGCCCCCGACTCTTGAGGACTGGAGAAATGTGCAAAATCCAGTCTTCCTTGCCTACGCCTGCATGCCTCGATTGCCGCTGCCCTTCTTGAACCCTTCCAGGACAGACGACCACGCGCCCTTCTCGCTCACCGGACCGGCATCGCCCCTTGCGATCCTGCGCATCAACAGCGTGTCCTTGGCGACTCGGACTTTCTTGCCATCGAGCCCGAGCAGCGCGTCCCGGAACCAGTCCTCCTCCTGGGTGTCGAGACCCGCACTGGTGAGCTCAAACGCGCGCTCCGCGGCTTCGTCACCGGGTGCCGTCTCAACGACAGACATCACAAGCCGCCTGAACAGCTGCTCGCGCACGAACTGCGGGCGAACACGGGAATAGCGCAGAGCCTCGGAGACGCTGGACTGCGCGATCGCGTCGAAGAGCAGCTCCGCCGCGGCCGAGGTCTTGAGCACGGGCTGCACGGTGTAGTAGTAAGCCAGGACGGGAGAGTAGTCGCCACCTTTGCTGCTGCCGATGTGCGCGAGCGCGGTGACGATCTCATCGGCAAAGTCGGGGACCAGCGATGGGTGTGTGAGGTGCTCGAGGGCCAGATCGAAGTTTGTGTCGTCCATGTGCCACAGGCCCTCCATGAAGATGCTGTACTTTTGCGGGACGGCGGCATCGGCAGCGAATACGTCGGCGCGGGTGCTTGTGCTGCCCGGGGACTGTTCCTCGAGGCGGTGGTCGACATCGAGAAGGATGTAGTAGAGGATGGAGAGCTTGTGGTGAACAGCGACGTTCGGAGCATTGCAGACGGCATGGTGCAGCTGGCGAAGATCTTTGTCGCTCTTAGGAGGATAGTATTTCGAGGCTGCACAGTGACATCTCGTGTCAGCGGCAAGCCACCATCGAATAGTTCAAATCGAGCCTACCTTTCGACATGTTCAGTGCGCCGAGCACCCTGTCGAGGAAGAGCAGGCCATCGTACTCTTTCCGCTTCTTGTCGACCTGCTGCGCCCATTGCCGGGTGAATGGGAACGGCGACAGGTCGCCAAAGACGAGGTCGAAGTTGCCAAAGTCGAGCATGGCTGGTGGTGTTGGTGTTGCGATCGTGGGTGAAGACAGGCACACCTGGAAGCTCGCGATGCTTGCCAAAGCTGCAGTCGGAGATGGTTTGCGACAAGGGCGGCTACCTGGGAGCCATCCCAGGGCAAAGTGCACTTGCATCAGACGCGACGGACGCGCCGGCGTCGAGACAATCAGCGGCATGCCCTGCCACTCACTGGTGGGGCCGAGCGACCCCGACCGCAATGGCGGGGAGGGAGGGTTGTTTTTGTTTACTTTGGAGCACAATAGCCCGGTGATGTTGCCGCCCTCCCACTTTCGAGCTTGACACCACGACGACAATCTCACGGATCCTGCAGTGCGAAACTAACCACAGCATAAGCAAGCTGTCTCTGCTGCAACCCGGCATTTGCAGTATCATTCAGTAGCGGCCAGTTCCCTCCCCCCGACATCAGCAATCCCTGCCAGCACGATCCGGGCCATTGTTTGCCCCCCCGTGCGACGCATACACAAGTCGTTTCTCCGCATCCGACAATGTCGACGAGGACCCGTCGCGCAGCCGCCACGAGGCGCACCGCAGTCGTCGACTCATCCGACGAAGACGAGATCAGCGCCGTCTCCAACTCGACCCAAAAGATCAAGGAAGAGTCCGAGGACGATTTCGACCCTGATGTGACGTCCAAGACACGTAGGAGGACAACACAGAGCAGGCGCACATCCACGATCCCGATTCGGGGCAACCGCACCCGCAGAAGTGTCGCACCTTCAGAGCCAGCCGAGGAAACACAGATATACGACGAAGACCCGACCGAAACCACCATAATAGCACCAGTAGCACAAGTCAAGCAGGAGAGCCCGAAGAGGAGGAAAAGTGTGGCGCCTCGGAAATCAGTCGCCGACGTTGAGGCTCCCGCGGAAGAGAACACCGTCGTTCTGCCCACCCCAGACGCCTCAGAGGAGCCATCTGGTGTCGGAGCCAGAGCACTAGGAGACATCACGATGAGCCACAGTGTCAACGAACGGCGGCCGTCCACGGCGTCCAGCGCTGCCACGGACGATACGACCGCGACGATCAAGCCCATCAAGGCCATGGATACCGTCTTCGAGAAGCCCATGGACATCATGCTCAAGTCACGCGCCATGGCCATGCCAGTGGTGGAGGAGACCGGACCTAAGGCGCGGATTGTCATCACGTATCTCATCCTCACCAATTTCAAGAGTTATGCAGGGCGCCAGGAGGTCGGGCCTTTCCACTCTTCCTTCTCGTCCGTGGTCGGCCCGAACGGCTCTGGAAAGTCTAACGTCATTGACGCTCTGCTCTTTGTCTTCGGCTTCCGTGCCAGCAAGATGCGACAGGGGAAGATATCGGCTCTTATCCACAACTCTGCGCAGCACCCCAATCTTGACCACTGCGAGGTCGCTGTACACTTCCAGGAGGTCATGGATTTGGTAAGTAGTCACGCCTTGCTAGCATTATTCCTGCGTACTGACAGCTTCTTAGCCTGGTGGTGGCTCCGAAGTCATCCCTAACTCGCAACTGGTCATCTCAAGACGGGCGTTTAAGAACAACTCGAGCAAATATTACATCGACAACAAGGAGTCGAGCTTCACCATTGTCACAACACTTTTGCGCGACCGCGGCGTTGATCTGGACCACAAGCGCTTCCTCATTCTGCAGGGTGAGGTCGAGTCTATTGCTCAGATGAAGCCAAAAGCAACGGGCGAACATGACGACGGCCTGCTTGAGTACCTCGAAGATATCATCGGCACGTCGAAATACAAGGCACCAATCGAGGAGTCCGCGACTGAGGTCGAGACGCTCAACGAAGTCTGCATGGAGAAGAGTGGCCGTGTTCAGCACGTCGAGAAGGAAAAGAACAGCCTCGAGGACAAGAAGAACAAGGCTCTGGCTTTCATCCGGGATGAGAACGAGCTTGTGCTGAAGCAGTCTGCGCTGTACCAGCTTTACATAAGCGAGTGCAACGACAACCTCGCAGTGACGGCAGAGGCCATCAGTCAGATGCAGGCACAGCTCGATGCCGAGCTCGAAAAGCATCAAGGCAGCGAGCAGATCATCAAGCAGCTGTCAAAGGCCTACAGCAAGGGCAGCAAGGAGTTCGAGGCGCAGGAGAAGGAGGTGCAAGCTCTGGCAGCCGAACTCGCCAAGTTCGAGCAGGAGAGGGTGAAGTTCGACGAAAAGCGCAAATTCCTCACGGACAAGAAGAAGAAGCTGGAGAAGACAATTGCCAACGCCGAAAAGTCATTCGCCGATGCCGACGAGACTATCGAGCAATGCACGGGGGAGATTGCCACTCGCACAGAGGAGATTGCACAGCTTGAGCAGCAAGTCCAGGAGGAGGAGAACAAGCTTACCTCGATTCGCGAGAACCTCAAGGGCAAAACACAAGTCTACTCCGACCAGATTGCGGCCAAGCAGAAAGCTCTGGAGCCATGGATGGAGAAGATCAACGAGAAGCAGTCTGCCATTGCCGTTGCCGAGTCCGAATTGACCATTCTCCAAGAGAAGGCCAACGCCGGCGCCGTCGCGACTGAAGAGCTGCAGAAGAAGATTGCCAGCATCGAGAAGAGCCGTGCTGCGAAGGATGCTGAGCTCCAGGAGTGCGAGACTGACAAGAAGGAGCTGGAGAACGAGATGAAGGAGGTCCAGACCGAGCTGGAGCATCTTGCCTCCATTGAGCCAAAGTTCCTGCAAAAGATCTCCAACGCCAGACAGAAGGCAGACGAGGCGCGTTCGAGTCTGTCTCAGACCCAGAACCGTGGCAACGTTCTCACTGCGCTGATGCGCATGAAGGAGTCTGGCCGTATCGACGGTTTTCACGGCCGGCTGGGAAACTTGGGCGCTATCGACGAGCAGTATGACGTGGCCATCTCGACGGCGTGCCCTTCACTAGACAACTTCGTCACGGACACGGTTGAGGCCGGACAGCAGTGTATTGAGTACCTCCGCAAGACAAACCTCGGCCGAGGCAACTTCATGTGTCTCGACAAGCTCCGCGCCCGTGGCATGGACCAGATCCAGACACCAGAGAACGCTCCGCGACTCTTTGATCTGATTCGTGCCAAGGAGGACCGGTTCCGTCCCGCCTTTTACCACGCCCTCCATGACACGCTTGTCGCCAAGGATCTTGCCCAGGCCAACAGAATTGCCTATGGTGCGAGGAGGTGGCGCGTTGTCACGCTGGCAGGAGAGCTCATCGACAAGAGTGGTACCATGTCTGGAGGTGGCACGACTGTCAAGAGAGGTCTCATGTCGAGCAAGCTCACCGCGGACACATCAAAGGAGAAGGTCGTCAAGTACGAAGCCGACCGGGATGCACTCGAAGCCAAGTTCCAGGAGTTCCAGGATGAGCAGCGGAAGTTTGAAGGACGCATGAAGCAGCTCAAGGTAGAGATCCCGGAGCTCGAGACAAAGATGCAGAAGATTGGCCTCGAGATTCAGAGTGCGGAGAAGAACCTGGCAGATGCGAAGCGCCGCGTCAAGGAGCTCGCCAGGGAGCACCAGCCCTCTGAGTCTGACGACAACAGAGTCGCGACACTGCAGAAAGAGATTGCCAAGCTCAACAAGGAGGTCGCAAAGCTCCATGCCGAGACCGAAGGCCTCGAGGCCGAGATC